GGGGATATTGGGGACATTGGGGACATTGGGGACATTGGGGACATTGGAGACATTGGGGACATTGGGGACACTGGGGACATTGGGGACATGAGGGAGATTTGGGACACTGGGGACATTGGGGATGTTGAGGGGATTTGGGGACATTGGGGACATTTGGGACATTGGGGGGATTTGGGGACATTGGGGGGTTGGGGACATTTGGGATGTTGGGGAGGGGTCACACGATGTCCCCATGGGGTGTCCCCACTGTCCCCCACTCCAGGGATGTCCCCCAGGATGTCCCCTGACCCTTGTCACCCCCTGTCACCCCCAGGATGTCCCCAGGATGTCCCCAGGGTGTCCCCAGGGTGTCCCCAGGATGTCCCCAGGGTGTCCCCAGGGTGTCCCCAGGATGTCCCCAGGGTGTCCCCAGGATGTCCCCAGGATGTCCCCTGACCCCTGTCACCCCCAGGATGTCCCCATGTCCCCCCGGTGTCACCTCTGGTTGCAGTGGGCAGCGGTCAGCACCCACTGCGGCCGCACCAGGACACCCCCTGACCCCCAGGATGTCCCCAGGATGTCCCCAGGGTGTCCCCAGGATGTCCCCAGGATGTCCCCAGGATGTCCCCATGTCCCCCCGGTGTCACCTCTGGTTGCAGTGGGCAGCGGTCAGCACCCACTGCGGCCGCACCAGGACACCCCCTGTCCCCCAGGATGTCCCCAGGATGTCCCCAGGGTGTCCCCAGGATGTCCCCAGGGTGTCCCCAGGATGTCCCCAGGATGTCCCCAGGATGTCCCCATGTCCCCCCGGTGTCACCTCTGGTTGCAGTGGGCAGCGGTCAGCACCCACTGCGGCCGCACCAGGACGCCGCCGCAGCGCAGGGAGCCGTAGAGCAGCACCTGCCAGGGCTGGGACATGGGGACACACGGGTACCCCCCGATGATCCTGTCCTCGTCACCCTCGGGGACGCAGGTGACACCCGCGGCGTCCCCGAGAGCCCGCTGGCCCGGGGGACACGGCGGAGAGTCGGGCACGGTGGCACCTGAGGGGACACGGGGACAGCGGTGGTGGCACCTCCGTGGGGACAGTGCCACCAGGTGTGGCACCTCCGTGGGGACAGTGGTGGCACCTCCGTGGGGACAAGGGTGGCACCTCCATGGGGACAGTGCCACTGGGAGTGTCCCCTGGGCCACCAGGTGTGGCACCTCTTGGGGACAGGTGTGGCACCTTCATGGGGACAAGGGTGGCACCTCTGTGGGGACAGTGCCACCAGGTGTGTCACCTCATAGGGACAAGGGTGGCACCTTTGTGGGGACAGTGCCACCAGGTGTGGCACCTCATGGGGACAAGGGTGGCACCTTTGTGGGGACAGTGCCACCAGGTGTGGCACCTCATGGGGACAAGGGTGGCACCTCTGTGGGGACAGTGCCACCAGGTGTGTCACCTCATGGGGACAAGGGTGGCACCTCTGTGGGGACAGTCAGGGTGGGGACAGCAGTGGTGGCACCTCCGTGGGGACAAGGGTGGCACTTTCATGAAGACAACGCCACTGGGAGTGTCCCCTGGGCCACCAGGTGTGTCACCTCCTTGGGGACAGGTGTGGCACCTTTATGGGGACAAGGGTGGTGGCACCTTTACGGGGACAGTGCCACCAGGTGTGTCACCTCCTCGGGACCAGAGTGGCACCTCTGTGGGGACAGCGCTGGCAGGGAAGGGACAGCAGTGGTGGCACCTTCATGGGGACAATTCCACCAGGTGTGTCACCTCTTGGGGACAGGTGTGGCACCTCCAAGAGGACAGTGCCACCAGGTGTGTCACCTCCTTGGGGACAAGGGTGGCACCTCCATGGGGACAGTGCCACTGGGAGTGTCCCCTGGGCCACCAGGTGCGTCACCTCCTTGGGGACATGGGGACAAAGGTGGCACCTCACAGGGACAACAGGTGTGGCACTTCCATGAGGACAATGCCACCAGGTGTGTCACCTCCTTGGGGACGGCAGTGGTGGCACCTCCTTGGGGACAATGCCACCAGGTGTGTCCACCTGAGCCATGAGGTGTGGCACCTTCATGGGGACAGGGGTGGCACCTCCATGGGGACAACGCCACTGGGAGTGTCCCCTGGGCCACCAGGTGTGTCACCTCCTTGGGGACAGGGGTGGTGGCACCTTTATGGGGACACGGGTGGCACCGCACAGGGACAACAGGTGTGGCACTTTCACGAGGACAATGCCGCCAGGTGTGGCACCTCCATGGGGACAGGGGTGGCACCTCCTGGGGACAACGCCACCATTGGTGTCACCTTCATGGGGACACGGGTGGCACCTTTATGGGGACACGGGGACGGGTGTGGCACCTCCATGGGGACAATGCCACCCCGAGTGTCCCCTGGGCCACCACGAGTGCGTCCCTGTGACCCCAGGTGTGTCCCCCAAGTGTCCCCAGGTGTTCCCCGGGGTGTCCCCAGGTGTCCCCAAGTGTCCCCAGGTATCCCCAGTGTCCCCAGGTGTTCCCCAGGTGTCCCCAAGTGTCCCCAGATGTTGCCAGGGGTGTCCCCAGGTGTCCCCAAGTGCCCCCAGGTGTCCCCAGGGGTGTCCCCAGGTATCCCCGGTGTCCCCAGGTGTCCCCAGGGGTGTCCCCAGGTGTCCCCAAGTGTCCCCAAGTGTCCCCAGGTGTCCCCCAGGTGTCCCCAAGTGGTCCCCAGGTGTCCCCAGGTGTCCCCAGGTGTTCCCAGGGGTGTCCCCAGGTGTCCCCAGGTGTCCCCAAGTGTCCCCAGGTGTCCCCAGGTACCTGAGAGCAGCAGCACCAGCAGCAGCAGCTCCACGGCCCTGGGTGACACAGGAGGTGACACAGGAGGTGACACAGGAGGGGACAAGGGTGACCCCACTGCCCCTCCCCCCTTTTTTCCCATTTCCCCCCCTTTTTTCCCCATTTTTTCCCCATTTCCCCCCATATTTTCCTCA